GTAGTGTACAAATGTTACCAGATGTAGTGTACAATAATTGTTTATAGTTGTAGTATGCAAATAAATGTTGACATGTGTAGTGTAAAAAAGGTGTAGTGTACAAATGTCGCCAGGTGTAGTGTACAAATGTTGTCAGGGTGATGTTGGCAGGTGTAGTGTACAAATGTTACCAGATGTAGTGTACAATAATTGTTTATAGTTGTAGTATCAAATTATAAAACTATTTTAGAGGCGTAATATTCTTTTTAAAATAAAATAATTTCTACTGTCCTTACTGTAGTATGCAAATAAATGTTGACATGTGTAGTGTAAAAAAGGTGTAGTGTACAAATGTCACCAGGTGTAGTGTACAAATGTTGTCAGGGTGATGTTGGCAGGTGTAGTGTACAAATGTTACCAGATGTAGTGTAAATTAATTGTTTATAGTTGTAGTATTCCAATAAATGTTGACATGTGTAGTGTAAAAAAGGTGTAGTGTACAAATGTCGCCAGGTGTAGTGTACAAATGTTGTCAGGGTGATGTTGGCAGGTGTAGTGTACAAATGTTACCAGATGTAGTGTACAATAATTGTTTATAGTTGTAGTATGCAAATAAATGTTGACATGTGTAGTGTAAAAAAGGTGTAGTGTACAAATGTCGCCAGGTGTAGTGTACAAATGTTGTCAGGGTGATGTTGGCAGGTGTAGTGTACAAATGTTACCAGATGTAGTGTAAATTAATTGTTTATAGTTGTAGTATTCCAATAAATGTTGACATGTGTAGTGTAAAAAAGGTGTAGTGTACAAATGTCGCCAGGTGTAGTGTACAAATGTTGTCAGGGTGATGTTGGCAGGTGTAGTGTACAAATGTTACCAGATGTAGTGTACAATAATTGTTTATAGTTGTAGTATGCAAATAAATGTTGACATGTGTAGTGTAAAAAAGGTGTAGTGTACAAATGTCGCCAGGTGTAGTGTACAAATGTTGTCAGGGTGATGTTGGCAGGTGTAGTGTACAAATGTTACCAGATGTAGTGTACAATAATTGTTGACAGTTGTAGTATACAAATAAATGTTGACATGTGTAGTGTAAAAAAGGTGTAGTGTACAAATGTCACCAGGTATAGTGTACAAATGTTGTCAGGGTGATGTTGACAGATAATGACAGATTTCATCCTAAAAGGCCCCGGCTCCCGTCCTGCCCAGAGGTTCCTCACGGCCCTCCAGCAGGATTCCCCGGCCCAGTTGGAGGCCATGTCCCGCTCCCTGTGGAACCAGCTGCTCTGTAAGGTAATCTATCCATATCTCTCTAGTTCCACACACATCACCTTTAGCACACCTTTTCAGCACGACACAATCAACTACCTCACACAAGTGAGTGGGGGGTCGGTGGAAGGATGGTCTAAACCATTGGTTTTCGACCACTACGATCCGGGTTCGATTCCCGCATCCAACCCCACCAGCGAATGCAAGTAACCAAACGGGGCTCTGGCACATTTGTAAGTGCAAAGTCGAACTGCTTTTCACGTGTATAGACATGTGGTGCACTTACAGTAAAAGCAGTCGCTAACTACCCACCATGATTATCATGGCCTGTACCACGTGTACTAAAGATAACCTCACACAAGTAACATTTACCATCTTCTTCTTTCTTATCTCCACTCAATCATATCAGGGTATCAAGCTTGTAGAGCTTGTTGATGGTGTCTGCTGTGGATGAGTAGAGCTCATCAATGGATGAGTCAATGGAGGAGCATTGCTTGATGCAAATACTATATATGTAATTCTATTGTGTCCTAAAAGCTTATGTCTATAGTTTGATTAAATATCATTTCTAAGATTCCACCCTTCAGTGTAGCCTATAAAAGTAGAATTATCCAATATAATATTAGAGCTCTAAAGAAGCAGTCTGGAAGATTAAATTGGCAAAATCGCTGGGAGAGTTCACCACTGATGAGCCAAGCCTCAGGGGAATGATTATTTTGAATCCTAGTTATACATCTATCCCCCAATTTACACGGTAGATACGTTCCTGAGAAAAACGTGTAAATCGGGGGATAGGTGTACACAGAAATAAAAATAAAATGCATTGACAGGTTAAAATATGTAGTCAGCACATAAGCTTGGGATTCCTCGTGAGATGTCTACACAGCGCATGTGTTCAATCACAGTAGCATTTAGTATAGTGCGATAAAAACAAAAAAAAAACTTATTTGATAAACCGTGTAAAAAAAGTACCGTGTAAATCGGGGGAGAGGTGTACTTATATACATAAACAATTTTCTAAAATAGATGGAAAGCATCACGTATTTGCATATACAGTTAAACCTGTCTATAGCGCCCCCTCTATAACACCCGATTTTAAATAATACGATGCAATTTACATCAATATTAAGCAACCTGTTTATAGCACCCTATTTTGGTGAGTCCCAAGAGGGGGCGCTATAGACAGGTTTAACTGTATATTTAAGAAATATTATATTTCTAATATATATTATCATTATCTCAATTTCCAACACCCTAAAAATATGTCATTTAGGCCATTATTTAGATAATTTGCATATTCTGAAGTTGAAACTTACAAAACTAAAGAATTTCTGTTTGAGAGCCAATTTCATCACAAGTGGTAGCCTTCATTCATCCCAGAATCCCTAGACAACTTTCTCACAAATGCTAAGATTTTTTGTCAACCAGTGGCTGTTTTGTTTCCAGACCAAAGTCCATTCATGCTGCCCCCATCTCAATAGATTGGTATACTGAACAAAAATGAAATACCCAGTCAGAACCAAAAGAAAGAATTTATTAAAATAAATTGTCTTTTTGACATTTGACCTTGACATGGTGACAGGAAATGTTGGACATTCTCTTTCCAGAAGTTTGTCTATGTAGTTTTATATATAGCCAAACCTCGCTATAATAACATCATTTTGAACCAAGATTTTATATTGTTATCTTCTTATACATAACCACTGTTTTAAACAATTAGAACTTAAAACTTGGGGCCTTAGATTTATGATGTTGTAACCAATTTACTGTCTGTAACATGCTTTGTGTTTATTTATGTAAAACATTTAATTATTCTTTGATTTTTCTCTCAATAGTTAGCCAGTCAGTAATACTGTACATTCTTTCTTTTTGTAATTTTGCATAAGTTTTGTTTATATATTATGGTCAACCTTGTTGTAATTATTAAAACACAAGGGATTGTTACTATCCCTTATTTATAAATAGGAAATGTTACACTGTCATAAAAAAGGCTTTTTTTGTTTTAAAAGATTGAGATAGTACTCCCAGTCTTAATGACAAAGGCAGACGCATTCTACTTCACCTAGATATCTTCTTCATATTTCTGATGAGGCAGTACTTTTGTCTGAAGATGGTAACAACGCTGTTACCGAAACGTCACACACTATTTATTTATTTGGATTTGGTCTTATTACCTTGTGTTTCTTCATATTTCTTATCTCCACTCAATCATATTAGGGTATCAAGTTGTGACCCTGATGGTGTCTGTTTGACAACCATCATGACTGGGTGAAGTAGAATGCGTCTGCCTTTGTCATTAAGACTGGGAGCACTACTCAGTGGCAGACTGACTTAGCTCCAAAAGAAATGGCCGCCTCTGACATGAGGAACAGACGCCATGTGCAGCTGCTCCTGACACGAAGTACAAACGTCTGAAGGACTGAGTACACATAATTCTATAGAAGTTTGTATAAATACTGTCTGTACATTGTTGGTAGAAGAAGCATACATATAATGATATGATAAAAATCATTATTAAGATAAAACATCAGTAAAACTTAGTTGTCCTTCTAGATCCGTTCGTAGAGTGGGAAAATCCTTCAATTTATATACACTAATGGACAAAACTTAAGGAGTGAAAAGTCTTTTATATGTGCAGCCGCTCCTAACATGGAGTACAAATGCTGCCCATCCTGTATCCCTGGATTAGGAGCCCTTACAGGGTACTATCAGCCGGGCCAGCTGAACCCAGGTTTTTTACCAAGATTGTTAATGCTCCCCCTCCTCCTTTTTCATCTGGGCTTGGGACCGGCAAAGGCGGAGTTTCACCTAGATATGATTGAGTGGAGATAAGAAAGAAGAAGGAAATATTGAGATTTTAGACAAGTTTGCCAAGTTGAGTATCCATCAAATGAAGGAATGCCAGGTGCTAAATGTTCCAGTTAGTCAAATGTTCCTTCCCATCCTACAATAACAACGTATGTGTGTGCAGAATCAAGATATCTCCAACCTGGAGATCATCAAAGAGGTTTGCAAATTACTTCATCCTTTCTCAATTCCTACTTGTAAAAATCAATTTAAACACAAGCTAATAAGACCAAACCCAAATAATTAAATAGTGTGTGACATTTCGGTAACAGCGTTGTTACCATTTTCAGACAAAAGTATTGAATGAGAAATTTTACCACAGCATGTTTTAAATAGTTGAAACATGCTATGGTAAAATTTCTCATTCAGTACTTTTGTCTGAAGATGGTAACAATGCTGTTACCGAAACTTCACACACTATTTATTTATTTGGAATTTAATCTTATTACCTTGTGTTTATAATCTATAATCCAAATTGTGCCTTGTCAAAAATCAATTTAATGATTTTTTTAAAAATGTGTTATTGATCTTCTTCCTATCCTCATTACCTTCTTTCTTATTTCTTGTTGTAGTTGTTGGTCTGTTATTTCTTATCCCTTTGATTACACCAATTCCTTGAGTTCATGCTCCTCGAGCTGTTTTATGATTAGCAGCGGCCTCTCCCAAAGGTCCTGTTTAGTGCATCTAATGCATGCCAAAATGTGTTCTGTAGCTGCAGTTGCCAAGCTACATTTTGGGCAAGTGGGGTATATTATTGTCTATCTTCAATGGCTTGAGATGGCCTGTTCTAATCTTGTTAGCCTATATGACCCAATAAGGATCACACATCCATCATATATAAAGTGGTATAGAAGTTGGGCGACTGCTTTTACTGTAAGTGCACCACATGTCTACACATGTGAAAAAACTGGTTTCGCCTGGGATCAAACTGGGGACCTTTTGCGTGTAAAGCAAACGTGATAACCACTACACTATGATATGAATGTCTTAGATAAGTCTTAGATAATGATAGCATTTTCCATATCCCCTCCTTTTTTTTTTTTACAATAGATTTTGGCCTCTTTTCTTATTTTTCTTGAATTTAACTGATATAGAGTCAACTGAATTATTTTGGAACAATTTTTCATTATTTACTCAGAATACAATATAATGCGGCTTGTGATTGTAGAACGACATTTGAAAATTATCCAGCATGTGTTTCCCCTGAACGAAAAATCAAAATTTATTTCAAGGAGAAATAATGATCATTTCTAACCTTAGGGATAAAGGATGAATTGGAAAAAGTAATGATCGAAATAAATTTTTATTTTTCGTTCGAAAGAAACAATTGCGGGATAATTTTTTCAAATGTCGTTTTACTCAGAATAGTTACCATTGAAAAATATATGACACCTATCTTTTCAAAATAGATACAAAACTTTCTGTGATTTGTTGAGAATTTTGACGTTTGAGATGATGGGTTAGTGACAAAGCATCAAGCTTTAGTAAATTCAGAACTCCTACCTGGTAACCATGGTACTAATCAGTGAATGGCAGTTGTTAAAGCCCAATTTGGATTATAGATTATAAACACAAGGTAATAAGACCAAATCCAAATAAATAATGTGTGAAATTTCTGTAAAAATTGAAAAAGTCTAGAAATTCAAAACTTCTCTAGCTGAAATGTTTCATATTTTAATGTGTAGACATGTGATGCACTTACAGTAAAAGCAGTCGCCTACCTCTTCCCACCATGATTATCATGGCCTGTACCACCTGTACTAGGGATAAGCAAAAAAAAAAGAACCCATTCAGGAATTTTAATAATTGATTAGTTGGTCTATTTTGGTTGTAATGGACAATTAGGTTCTTAATCAAAGCCCTGACCAGAAATAACTTTTGTAAATATTCCAGGCCACCTCTAGATTTCTATCAGAAGTGGAAACTCCAGGAAGGTTGAACCTTGAATCCTTTTATCATTCCTATCATTTTCCCGTGTTATCCACATTGATTGCTTAAGACATGAAATAAACCCAAAAAAAAAAGTTGAGCGGCTCTCTTATCAAGTTGTTGTTGTTTCTTATCCCCTTGTGTAAAGATTACACAAATTCCATGAGTCCATGCTCCTCTAGCTGTTTGATGATAAACAGCGGCCTCTCCTAAAGGTCATGTTTAGTAATGATATTTTCTAGTATCCATTTAACAAAGGATAAATATCGAAAAGATAGAGGTTGCCTGGCCGGCATTCATATTTATATAATAATTTATATATAGGAAAGAGTTATTAGATATCACAAAAAATTTAAAGCTGAATGAACATGAAATAATAGTATCCTTTGACGTCAAATCGCTTTTTACCAATATTAAGAGAACTTTAGCTCTTAAAGAGCTAAAAGAATATTTTGAGGTAAAAAGACAAGATTGCGCAATCAAGGGATTAGAAATCGATGAAATTATTTGAAGGGTTTAGGTTATGTTTAGAAAATATTTATTTTAGATATGGGGCTAAATTTTACAGACAAAAAGACGGTACTGCTATGGGTTGCCCTACCAGTATGATCATAGCTGACATTGTAATGGCATCAATAGATAGAAAGGCAATTTTAATAGAGGGAATAAAGATATGGGGACGGTATATAGATGATGTTTTCGCAGTGATCCAAAAAGAAAAACTTAACGAGATCATTGTCAAATTAAATAATTTAGAAATAGGAATAGAATTCACTGTTGAAACAGAAAAAGAAGGATTTTTACCATTCTTAGATGTAGGATTAAGCCGTAAAGAAGATGGATCTATTATAACCAGCGTTTACAGAAAGCCAACAGACTGTGGAATACATCTAAATTTTAATTCTAACAATCCTATATTACACAAAAGGCAGGTGATAAAATCTCTTGTACAAAGAGCCAAACAGGTATGTACAGACCAAGACATTTATAAAAAAGAGATAAAGAAAATTAGAGCGGAGTTAAAACAATCCAAATATCCAGTTGGCTTCATAAATAAATGGATTAGAAAATATGAAATAGATAGGCCAAATTTGAATAGAACTACAGAAGGTTACAATAATATAATAATTCCTTATATTAGAGAAATTGATAACGAAATATCTAGAATTTTGAAAAAATGTAAATATAATATTTGGTATAGTACTGGGACAAAAAGGGAATTTTTAACTAGAAATAACATAATGAAGGATAACATAGGCACATCAAAACCAAATAACGTAATTTATGGGATTAAATGCACAGAATGTGACAAAATTTATGTGGGGGAAACCGGCCGAAATTTAGAGACCAGAATTAAGGAACACCAACAGGGTTTATTGGGGAGAAGGGCGTTAAGCAAAATTGGGGAACATGCATTATTCATAGGAATATAAAATTTAAAAAGGAAAGATTATTTTTAGAGGGATGGGTATCACGAGAATTTGGGAAAAGAACTATAAATACTTTTGAAGATATTCCGCAACAATATGCTTCATTTTTAAATTTAAAAAGTAGTTAATAAGCTAGATAAAAAATTGGACATAATAGTTATAAATCTATATAATAATCTTTGTGATTATTATTATTATATATTTTTATTTCCAAGATCATAGTCTTTGACGAGTTTAATATTTGTTTTTGACTCGCGCTTTAGATGTTGTACTAAATTCGAAGAATCACGTGAGAACGCCCTTGCAAACCTCAGAACAATTTTTAACGCCTTGCCAAATGCTTTATTTTTATTTACTTCTCCTGATGAAGACAAAAGATTTTTGTCGAAACGTTGAGAAAATAAAAAACTCCAACTGGCCGAAGTGTCTATTTTTTATATAAAAAGGATAAATAATACAAGAAAATAAGTCCTAATCCAAATAATTTAATAGTGTGTGAACAACATTGTCACCATCATCAGACAAAAGAATAAATGAGAAAAAATAGAGAGAAAATAGAGGTAACCCGGGCTCCTCTAATTTCTCTCTATTTTTTCTCATTTATTCTTTTGTCTGGTGATGGTGATAATGAGAAAAAATATCACAGCAAGTTCTTAAATAGTACTGTTATCCAGTGTATAAACAAGATAACAGATAAGGAAAAATAGTTAAGACAACTTGAAATATTCTTCTTAGAATTAAAAGTGGATTTTTTAAAAAATATAATTAAAGGCATATCTGTAAATATCATTTATATTTCCTCTTTCTTCCATTCTATTAATTCTATAATCCAAATTGTGCTTTATCAAAGGATAAATAGGAAATACTATATTAAAAGAGAGAAATATATATATAATGATAAGGTACAATTTGGATTATAGATTAGAAACACAAAGTAACAAGACCAAATAAATTGTGGGTAACATTTCCATAACAACTTGTGTTACTATTGATATACATTAAAACCACTCAGTAAAGGACAACACCTAGTTGCAGAGCAAACGTGTCCTTTATGGAGAGGTGTCCTCTTACCGGAGAGTTGCTAAATAATAAAAATGGTAATTCTGACAATGAAAACTGTCCTTTGTAGAGAGATGTCCACTAGCGGGGTGTCCGCTAAAGGGAGGTTCTACTGTATCTATACAGTAGAACCTCCATGAGAGGACACTTGTGCTTGAGGATACCCCTCTATAAAAGACAGTTTATATTTACAAAATTAACATTTTTACTATTTAGCAACTCTCTGGTAAGAAAACATCTCTTCCTAAAGGACACTTTGGCTCTACAATTAGGTATCCTTTACAGGGAGGTTCTACTGTATATATAGGAATAAATATGATTCAGATAAAAGTTTTAAAGAACACCTAACTAACTAAGTTTTGTCCATGAGTGTGTGTATATGTTGTGTCCTTGAGTAATTGTGGCAAGAGTGCAGGCAGCCAAGTTAGCCGGCCTATCAGACGACCTCATAGCCAAGCTGCTGCCTCGCATCGAGGAGCCCGCTGTCAAGGAACAGCTCAAGAAAGTCACCCAGAAGGCCATTGACCTGAATGTAAGTGACAGCTCCCCTTTTACTGGAACCTGGCAAGTGATGCTTCTTCTTACATGTGCATGACAAGATATGAGCAAAAGGGTCTTTTAAATATATCAATCACTATTTACTGTGTGTGTATGGGTGAAGTCAGGGTGTGGTGCAAGCATGTTGTGCATGCACATTTTGAGAGCAGGTGCAAGAGTCTTCTTCTTTCTTATCTGTTAGGAACCAATTCTTTCCTAGTCTACAATCGAGCAGAGTAAACACTAACACCTCTAAGAAAATCAACACTTTTAATTTCCTTTCATGACTAACTAATTTACATCATTTAAAAACCAATTCTATACATGCAAAGTCATCTGGTCAAAATATAAATAAATTAATCTATGAAAAAACAACTTATAAAAATCCTAACAATGCCCCCCATTTTAAAGTTGTTTTCATACCCTCATCGGAGGCCTAGAGTGGCCAAGATCCTGGTCAGTTTAATTCTTCCAATTCCCTTAGTTAGAAAATCTGCAATACTCCCTCCGCCAAGCCGCAATTCTTGAAGATCTTCTTGGGATTATAGTTTCATTCTGGCCTTCGTCTTCCCTCCTCAGTGCTTCGTCTTCATAAGCCTGCTCTCCATCCTCTCTTCGTTCCATGTTATTCAGATTATTCTCTTCCGATATTGTTTCATCAGTCCCTGAATATCCCCTCGGGATTGCAGAATCATTTTGGCCTTCTTCGTCTTCCTTCTTTAGTTCGTCTTCTGGTTCTTTTCTACAAATTTTGTCTCTTCATTTACAGATTCATAGTCTTCTTCAAAATTATTATTTAAAACCTGAAAAAAATCAGTTTCATGTGAAATTTGTTTATCGACTTTCTTAGTTGGGAAAACATCTTCTCTAAATCTGACATTTCTGGTTACAAAGACCTTATTGTTTCTGAAGTCCCAAACCTTGTATCCCTTGACTCCTTCCGGATAACCAATTAGAACACATTCTCTGCTCCTTGAGTCAAATTTGGATCGACGCTGGTCGTTGTATGTCCAGGTCTGACAACCGAAAACT